TATGCATGCAAAGTAAGAGCTCTACCACCGAGCCACATCCCCAGCACTAGTTCATTTTTTCTACAAGTTATCAAAAAAAAAAAAATGTGCATTTACTTGATGTCTATTGTATGCAAAGTCTTGTCCTGTTCTAAATGTTTTGGCTGCGTAACCTCTATGAAAAGATACAAGGTTGATTATCTTGCCCTAAATAACCCATGGTTTGTCTGTTAAAGTAGCAGAGCTTCAACTAAGGCAGGGGTTGATTTTCCCTAGACTTAGAATGGTTCCCAGTACATTATAGACATTTAAAGAATATCTGTAAATTCAATTAACAAACACTGGGCACCTTACTAGGCACTGGGGTAGCAAGCATAAAACAAAATATACAACAATCCATGCCTATATGCAGAGTACACTGAGCATTAGTCCACACTAATAATTTTTTTACTTATTACTTATTTACTTATTCAGTATGTGGCAGTGGGAATTAAACCCCACGTCTTTGAATTGTGCTACCCAGCTCCGCTCCCCTTCATTTAACTTCACTGAAAGTCTAATTTTTTTAAAACAAAATTGCAAATGTAGAGTCAGAGATGAAGCCCACCGGTGGAGTACTTGCCTACAATGTGCAGAACACTAGCTCAACACTATACATTTCTAGGTTGCCCAAGGTGGGCTCAAATTTATGATCCTCCTGTGTCAGCCTCCCAGAAGGTTGGGATTAGGCATTTACCACCACACCCAGTTTACCCTATTTGTTTTGGTCCTATCAACCCTGGAAAGAGGATGGAGTCTATTTTGCAGGGCAAGAAACTTAAAATCAGGGTGGAGCAATGATTTGCCTTAGATCAATGAGATTTTTTTTTTCTCTCCTTTTGAGCCAGGGTATCATGCAGTTCAGGCTGGCTTCAAGATTCCTCCTGCCTCGACGTCCCAAGTGCTGGGATTATAGGCGTGCACCACCGCACCCGGGGAATGGGATTCTTTCCTAGGAGTGAAGATAGAATTGTAAACCAGTCCCTGTGGTTCCCAGGCCCGAGCACTCAATCAATTAAGCCGGCAAATCCAATCACCCAATCAGTATTTATTAGGCCGCCAGTGTGGGCGGTTGATCTCGCGCAGGTCTGGAGACAAGGTTGCGGTGTGCCGACGGCTGCGGAGACAGAGGCTCCGCGGGTCGCCGGAGTTTGGCGCCTATTTTTTGTTGGTTGGGTGTTCTCGCCTGTGATTGGGCCGCAGCGCGGCGTCCGGGTGCGCGGATTGCGGCGGCTCTGTCGACCCTGGCTGGGCCCAGGCCGCGCAGAGCGCGGCTGGCCTCCCGCGGGATGGGTCACCAGGAGTCCCCGCTGACCCGGGCGGCGGCGGCGGCGGGGGCGGGCGGCGCGGCTTATGTAAAGCGATTATGTAAAGGGCTCAGCTGGCGCGAACACGTGGAAGGCCACGGGAACCTGGGAGCCCGGGCCTCCTCCGCGAGAGCCGCTGCCATCACCGCTGCAGCCTCACGGCCTGTCACCCGCCCGGCCCGGGCCACCTCCTCCCGCGCCGCTCAGTCCGGGAGGGGGCCCCGGCTTGGAGCGGACCATTTCCCGGCAAGGGCTCCCGGAGGAAAAGGCGCCGCCCGGAAGTGGAGCGGCGCTGGCCAGGTAAGGACGAGACCGTGGAGCCAAAGCTACCCGCCACTCCCGCGGCGCTGGGGAGGGCACCCGGGTCCTCGGTTCGGCGCGCTCCGCAAAGCAGAACTTTCTGCCACTCTCCTCCACCCGCTACCCATGGGGACTTGGGTCGGCCCATTGGGCTCCGCTCTGGCTTAATTCAATGGACTGTTTACACCCGGAGGACGAAAGGCTGGGCGTAGGAAGGGGGATGTCAGAGAAGATCAAGCAGGGAAAAGGACTTAAAACTATCAGAATAGCTCCTGTAGGTGATTTTCGTAAATACTGAAGACCTCTGATTTTTGTTTTTGCCGTTTCCACCCGATAAATAAGCAAAGATGGCCAGTGGCACTTGCTTTTCTTTCCGGTTCTCCCTCTGAACCTCTATCCATTGGTTCCGTCTTCTTCGCTTGCTCCTCCCCTCTCTGTTCAGTCAGAGGCCTTAGCTTCCGTCTTAAAGGGGACGCAGCGGCCGGAGGAGGAGCGGGAGGAGGTGGGGCTCTACGCTTCCTGCGCTGCTTGCCTACCCGCCTCGGCCTGGTTGTTTAACCGCTTTTTTCGTCCACAGGTCACAATCCAAGGTCCCGCTCCTCCGCGTGCCGGGGCCGGACGAAGGGATGAAGCAGGGGGAACCCGGGCAGCACCGTTGCTGCTCCCCCCGCCGCCCGCAGCCATGGAAACGGGGGAGGAAGACGGCGCCCGCCGAGGTACACAAAGCCCGGAGCGGAAAAGGCGAAGCCCAGTGCCCAGGGCGCTCAGCGCGAAGCTGAGGCCAGTGGCTGCGGCCCAGGCGATGGATTCATTGGCGGCCGAGGCCCCGAGCGAGGCCTACCTGGCGGGGCGGCGGCCCGAGGCTGGCGGCGGGTCTGCGCCTCCCCGTTACAGCCTGCTGGCAGAGATCGGGCGCGGCAGTTACGGCGTGGTCTACGAGGCAGTGGCCGGGCGCAGCGGGGCCCGGGTGGCGGTCAAGAAGATCCGCTGTGACGCCCCCGAGAATGTGGAGCTGGCGCTGGCCGAATTTTGGGCCCTGACCAGTCTCAAGCGGCGCCACCAGAACGTCGTACAGTTTGAGGAGTGCGTCCTGCAGCGCAATGGGCTAGCCCAGCGCATGAGCCACGGCAACAAGAACTCTCAGCTCTACCTACGCCTGGTGGAGACCTCGCTCAAAGGTAAGGCCGCCCTGCCCACGCAGGACCTGGGCCGCCAGGACCCCTAGGCTCCGGCCTGCCCCTGTCACCCAGGGCCTGACACACCCTCTTTTCCCCGCCCAGGTTTTGGGGCTGCCTTCCTCGGCACTCAGTTCTGCCCGAAACGTTAGGGGAGTTTCCACAAGAAGAGTTCTTCTAAGTGCTAATCCTTCCTTACCTTAGTAAAGCATGTATTCAGTAACTGGCAGATTGCAGAGCTTCCTTACTCTAGGGCTTCTTTTTCTTTCCTGAAACAAACTGAAGAACTTTACTTTCTTCCTTTCTGGTTCTAAATTTTCTGACATTCTCTAGTTCCGCTCCTAAAACTCTTGCTTTCTCCTGAGATCCCCAGGCCTCCATCCAAGGGCAATCAAGCAAACCCTTGGTTTGCAGTCTCGGTCCTTTGGGGGATGTATAATAACTCTGACAGGTGGGTCTGGCGCTGTCACATCACACCCAACATCTTTTCCCGCCATTTGACCTTAATCTTTTTCCTGTGAGGCTGGCTGGGAAGTGATTTTACTTATAAAGAAAGTGGTTTTACTTAAAAAGAAAGCAGAGCTTCTTGAGGCCAGAGAGTTTGGAAAGCGAACTGGGAGGAATACAGGTAGCCAAGGATCTGTTCAGAGAGAAGGGATAGTGACCTAGAAAAATGAGGAGGTATCCGGAGGCCAAAGAATCCAAGGGAAGAATTAATCTGAGTCCCAGGTATGGCTTGAACACTAAGCTGACTTAGTGATTTATTTGTAGATTTTTTTTTGAGGCAGGGTCTCACAAAGCAGTTTAGATTGGCCTTAAACTCACTATGAAGCCTAGACTGGTGTTGAACTTCAGATTCTCCTGCCTTACCTCCTGAGATTACAGTGCATCACCACCCGTTGCTCTGAAGCGATGTAAGATAAAATATTAAAAGCAAATTCTGTCCCCTTTCTAAGAATAGAAAAACTAAGCCCTAGAGGTGAACAGGGATAACTTGAATAAGGTTAATCAGCTTGAAAGGGAACTCTTAACTGCTGATTTCCATGTTACCTACTTCGCATAGCTTGAGTGATGGGACCCAGGTCTGTCTTTGATTCAAGGCATGAATCTATTCTCATATGGCCCTGCTGTTCTAAGGATGACCGTTTGAGAACCGGTAGGGTTTGGGGCTTGATAATGCTGTTTCCTAAAATCTTGAAGCTTTTGCTTAGATCCCATTAGTGAGTATCCCAAGAGCATTTGTTGTCCATTTCAAGTCAGTTTGACAGTGGATTAGATGGCACCAGTGGTATCACCTGGGGCCCTTTCTCAAGAGACTTCCTTTATGCCCATCCCCCCTTCATCTACTCTGAGAACCCTGAATCCCCCCAGGGTGAAACTTTGTTTTTTTCTGAAACGTCTCCCCAAGGAGATTCTTTTATCTTCCCTGTATTCTAAGAACTCATCACTTAAAGGTCCTTCCTTGTTCTTATAATTCTTTGCAGTTAATAATGATCTAGACGTCCATATTTTAAGACTGCATTGGTATTAGGAGTTGCTTTTCCAAACATTTTTCAACCCTCAATTCATTGATGCCAGTCTTGCAATTGCAACCATAGCTTGTGGTCTTATTCCCCCAAAATATAAACACATTGAAACTTTCTTCTCAGGTAGAATTTTTAAGAATTTCACAGTAAACAAAGGTGATATAGCATAGAAGTTAATTCTGAGATTAGGCTCATGCTCAGTTTTAGCTTCCCCTAAACTGATGCACAGGCATGGGGTAAGTTTAAAAACCTGTGAGAGGCATTCCTTTATCCATGATCTAGGGATACCTTTGTCATAAGGTGCCATACACGCTGGGAATAGGTTCCGGCTGCGTAGAGTCTTTTCACCTCCTTTGAGATTTGTTACAGTTTGCTGAACTTCTTTGACTGTAGAACATGTCCTATTACTTGTATCAGCAGCAGCACTATATTTTCATCCTTGGAGAACTACAGCTGAGACCTAGAGAAATGAAATAGTTTGCTTACTGTGATCCCTTTCAGCTGTTGGCATCCTCAAACTATTTGAGCCTCCACAGTGTTTTGGGCTCAGAGACAGCACAGTGAGGAAAATGTATTTTCTCTGCTTAAGAAAATAGGTTAAGCTTTTATATCACGTAAATTCAGCAAGTAGTAAGTATAGTCATTTTTCACTTGTCATTACTAAGTGGAGTACAAAGACCCACCTCTCTCCAGGTTAAGTTTTTCTGGCTCCAGTCTCCAAGATTTATCTACCATGCTGTGTCCTGGGGCCCTAGGTTTACAACATACCCATGTGGTCCAGTAATGTCAAAGCTGAAGGAATCCTAGAAATAACTTGGTTCAGTTCATTAACTAGGAAGCATTTTGAAGTTACCCTTCCCGATCTCCTGAAATTTAGGGTGATTTTGAAATTGAGCAAAGTGGTAACCTGCCTGGCAGTCCCAACTCAAGCAAATGCATACTTTTTCCAGAGTTCTTACAATGGTATTTGAAAGAAAAGGAGGGGAAAAAAAACCCTCGTCCCAAAGCCACTTACATTTGAAAAGTTTAAGGATTCTAAAAGATTTAAATGGTAATCAAGGTCACTGGAGGAAATGGCACAAATGTTAACCCATTAACAAGGGCTTTGGGGAGGGTGTTGTACAGAATTAAGGAGAATCAAGAGATGACGGAGACGAAGTGTTTGAAAGAAGGATATTAGAGCCAAGGTAGGTGGAGATAAAATGCGATGTGTTGTTTGTTTTTGCGATGTGTTTTAATGTTGGGCCGGTAAGACAGTTTTTTCCATCTCAATTCCTAGTGAATACACAGCAGACGTTTCTGTAGTCTCAGGAAAAATCACTTGATGTTATAATCTAATTTTAAAGAAACTTCTTACAATGTTCTTGGTTTTACCCAATTTGATGAACTTCGTGCATCATCTCCTTTTCAAGCAATAACTAAACTTACCTCCTCAAAACATAATGTAAAATATAGTCAGAAGTCTTAGGTATCTGCTCTAGCTATGTAGGAAACTAGACTCCAGAAAAGGGATAGGATTTGCCCAAAATGAAGTAGTGGCAGCATTCAAATAAGCTTCCCAGTGTTTAGCAATACTGTAAATTTGGTTGACTGTTTAATGTTGAAGTATTTTTTACATAAAAAGAATTAAGACATCAACGGTTTGCTCCTTTCATGGGGAGAGGGCTGGTAGGGCTTTTTTGAAGTAGGGTCTCAACTATAGTCCAGGCTGGCCTTGAACTCCCTTATGTACTTCAGGCTAGGCCTCAACTCTGATCCTCTTGCCTCCACCTCCCAAGCCCTGGGATTTTAGTTGTGTATTGCCATGCCTGGCAACAGTTTGATTTTTAAAACTTTTTTTTTTTTTTTTTAACCTCTGGCCTGAACTCTCAGCTGTTCTGCCTCAGCCTCCCAAGTGCTGGGATTCCAAGCATATACTGCCACCCCCAGATGTTTTTGTTCTATTTGTTTTCAATTTCTGAAGGACTCTGTTCTGAATGCACCTAAAACAAGCTGCCACTTAGAAGACAATAGACAGCTTTCCACTGCCAAACTCAGAAAGTTTGTTTCTATCTCCTTCAGACAAACAACAGTGAAGACCCCCTCTTCTCTTCCCCTCCAAAAAATTTGGGACATATTGAAGTCTCATAAAACTAGTGGTTTTACTGAGCTGAGAGCCAGGAGCCTGGTAAAAAGACACTAGTTCATTTTGCAAATTGTTCAATGTTTACTGTACACAGGGTGGGTTTTTTTTTTCTCTTCCATTGTGTGGTAGTAAGCGGGATTGAACCTAGGGCCTTAGAATCCAGTTACATTAACTACATCCCCAATTTTTACCTTCCTAGTCTTGCAAAGTTACCCAGCCTAGGCTCAAACTTGGTATTCTGCCTTAGCCTTCCAGATTGCTGGAGTTGCAAGCATGGACCACTGCAGCCAGTTTCAAAGAATCTTCTGGTTGTTTGAGGTGGGTTAGCCCTTACGAAGTTGCCTTGCCTGTGCAGCCAAGCCATGTGACAACTGAGAGAGGCTATGTCAAAGGGGCTGCACAAGCTTTCCATCGTGTGGCCTGTACATGTCCACATGAACTAGTGCAAGATCACAAGAAAACATTTTCTCTAATTTCAGTTGGAGGCATGGGAAGACAGGTAACAGAGGTAGTGAGGGAAGAACTAACCTGGTGGGGAGGCCAGAGTTCCTGGTAGGAACTGGTTGTCACCCTGTGAGCTCCCCCAGCAGTTAAATGCCTAGGGAAACTTTGGGGCCTAGCAGGGCAAAATCACACCATGCCCAGGCTTCTAGAAAGTAACTGAATTCTCCGTTGTACCTTGGGCCTCAGTTTAGAGAGCTCCAGCTAGGCAGAGCTGGAAGATGGTCGGGCTACTTTGACATAGATAAAAATGGTGATAAGAGTCCTTGTAACAAATCACCAGAATACAGTGGAACACTGGATATAGAGTCTGAAAATGTTAGTTCTAGTTTCACCCTGTTAAGAGTTAGAACTTAGAGATTGTTATGTGCCTGTTGCAATACTTTTTAATCCTGTTCTGTCCAAACCACCACTTGAAGTCAGTACTATGATTTATCTTTTGCAGTTGAGGCAACTGAGGCACAGAGGTTAATGAAATTGTCCAATAGCAATGCAATGGCCAACCCTGGCTTGGACCACAAACTTTACAGCTTTGGTGGCTTAAGTCCTGAGTTCTGTTTTTCTTGGTTGTAAAATGGACACAATCATACTTTTGCTCAGAAATTAATGGCTATTAATGTTTAATTGTATATTAATCAATGCTGTGGCACCACTGATTTGGTTTATGTATCTTAGCTGTTAGAGTACTTGCTTTCTGGTCTGCTCTTGAATGTCTTAGGGCAATCATGTGGATTTTTCTTGCTGATGACTGCTTTTCTTCTGTGTGTTTTGGGGATTTTAGGTACCAGCCCCAGGAGATAGAAATAACTCTTATCTAACTGAGATTTTTGGTTAATTGGGTTTGCATTGGG